TACAAAATCGTGTATCACAGCAGATTTTCAGAAACTGTATTTTTGTGTTCAAACATTCATTTCTCTCAAATGGGAAATTTTTTTTCATAAATTATTTCTCTAACATGTTATTCTACATGTCTAGAACATTCCCACAAAATTTCATAATTTTTAGAGTTCATTTACTATTTTAAATTGATTTTACAAAACATCTGCGCACTGCTACAGTAATCCGGTCGACCGGAAATGTCTCTGGACGTTGGTTACTGTAGCTAACGGCTATAATTCCCAGATTTTAATATATCCATTTTTTTGTCTTTTTGCTTGGTTTTCTTGGGTTTTTAGGCTTGTTTCATGAGCCTATATATACCCCATGCCCTCATACTTCTAAGGGTACTCAAGAAATGTTTTAAACAAGTTTAAAGAGTTTTAAACAAGGGTTTAAGTGTGTTTTAGTATTTGTTTGGTTTGAAGATTGTTTTCACAAGTGGAGGAGATCATCTTCTTGTTTGGGCTCCAATCTCCATCTCTCCATCTTGTCATCTATTGGAGAAGTTTTCTAAACTCTATCTAGCTTTACATTTGCTTAGTTATTTGATTATCATTCTTTAAAGCTAGTTTTTATATTGAGTTTAGATTTGATTATATTATCTCATTGTTACACACACCCACTTGAGCTTATTGTATTTGCATACATAGTATATTAGGGTTGTGAGAGATTGTAACATTGAGTTGTGCTTAATTGTGTTCTCATCTATTGTAGAGAACAAATTTATATTTGTTACATTGTGAGTGGTGTAAGGTTTTCGGTGAGCTAGAAAACCGAGTGTGTTGTGAAGTTTTCGGTGAACTAGAAAACCGAGTGTGAGGAGTGACGTTGATCGGTGAGCGTTGAAAACCGATACTGTGAGGTGTAAACGTTATTCGGGTGAACGTAGAAAACCCGGTTGTGATAGTGGATTTCTCCCTGGGGGTGGGGAGCAGAGACGTAGGACGGAAGGTCCGAACTCCGTGATCACTTGATTGTGTTTGAGTGTACTTTGGCGTTCACTTTCATTTATGTTCATATCTTATATCGCCATTGTGCATTGCTCATTACTACATCATTCACTATCTTGTTTAGATTATCTACCCTTGTGTTGTTTATATATCCTTGCACATACATTACCTATATGTCATTATTAGGATATATATTATTGTTCATATTGCTTATCCTAGCTCATATACATAGTTGTATTTCATACTTGCTAGGATAACCTATTAGTGACATTTTTATTTAAATCAAATAGATAATGAGGGTATAAAAATGTTATAAAAATCCGATTATCAAAGCCCATAATGAGTGTGCATCTAATTTCATTAACAGATAGAGAAATTTGAGTCTTCATTGTTCTTAGCTCATCACAGAACCAGAAGTAGTGTGAATGTGCATGAATAACCATCAACTAGAGATGGCTATTCATTTACAAGGGGTGCGTCCCATGATGTTCAAGGAATTAGCCTTAGACTGATATTAAAAACTATCTTAGACAATTGAGTAATTGCTCATAGAGAAAATTCTAACTTCTAAATTCTTTTATCATGAGTAGGCTCTATGCCTTGAAAAAAAAAGCTCTTCACCAATCTCTAAGCTCTAAGAGCATAAACTGTGAGTAGAATCTACACCTTCAGAAAAATTCTTCATCAACCTTCAACCATGTATAGGTTCTATGCCTTGAAAAAAAGTATTCTTCTTATCAATCACCGAGCTCTAAGAGAGCAGACCATGAGTTGGGTCTACACCAATTTTTTTTCTTTTGACCAACCTTCAATCTCTTACAGTATGTAAGTAGATTCTACACTTTGAAAAAATCTCTTCATCAACGTACATTAATAATGAGGCTTTATGCCTACAAAAAATAATTCACCATCAACCTCCATGATTTAAGAGCAAGTGCAGCAAGCTCCCAGTTGGGAGTCCTAGTCAGCAAGCTCTCAAGAGCTCTCAACCTTTTTGGAATAAAAAATTAAAAAAGTAAGCCTTGGGAGGCACTCATTCTTTTATGGAGCTCCAACAAGCTCCTAGTTAGGAGCTCCAACAATATCAAAAAAACCTCTCTTCTATTTTAATATTTTACCCATTACTTTTAATTATATTTAAACCTCTTGTATTTTATTTCTAACCGTTGGATACGGCCTTCGAGGGAGCGCACACAGTCTTCGAGGCAACCCACGGTCTTCGAGGGAGCGCACACGGTCTTCGAGGCAACCCACGGTCTTCGAGGGAGCGCACACGGTCTTTGAGGCAACCCACGGTCTTCGAGGGAGTGAACACGGTCTTCGAGGCAACCCACGGTCTTCGAGGGAGCACACATGGTCTTCGAGGTAACCCGCGGTCTTTGAGGCTGGGCACGAAGTTCGAGGTATCGCAAACTTTGACCGTCAACCGACTGGTGCCTATAAAATTCGACGGCTTCTCTCCTCAACCCATCATCTCTCAGAATAAAATGTCTAGATCATCTAGCTCTAGCGATGATGAAATGATAGAGACGTTCTTTCTTATGGGAGCTGCTGTCATTAAGGAAGAAGAACAAGAGAAATGTTCAACTTCAGTTCAACACAAACGACGTATCGTGCTCCATCGAAACCGACTGGAAGGCCACAATCGGTTATTCCAAGATTATTTTGCTGACGCACCAACCTATCCTCTTTATTATTTTCGTCAAAGGTTCAGAATGAGCGATCGTTATTCCTTCGAATCCACGACGCAGTCGTCGAACATGACAAGTACTTCGTCCAAAAGAGGAATGGTGCTGGACAGTTAGGACTATCTAGTCTTCAAAAGATTACTGCAGCTATGCGGATGCTCGCATATGGAGCATCCGTTGACTCCGTTGACGACTACGTTCGGATCGGTAAAAGTACGTCGCTTGAGAGCGTGAAGAGGTTTGTTCGATCAATTATCAACATCTTTGGAGAGGAATACCTTCGTGCACCGACTAATGAAGACGTTGCACGCCTGCTCGAGGAAGGCTCACAACGAGGTTTTTCTGGTATGCTTGGGAGCATCGACTGCATGCACTGGATATGGAAGAACTGTCCAACTGCCTGGCAAGGTATGTATATTGGACATTTTCATGAACCTACAATTATTTTGGAGGCCGTAGCTAGCAAATATCTTTGGATATGGCATGCCTTCTTTGGACTGCTGGGGTCTCACAATGACCTTAATGTTTTACATCGTTCACCGGTTTTCGCACAACTTATGGAGGGAAGAGCTTCACCGTGCAACTATACTGTCAATGGCCACGAGTATAATATGGGATACTATCTCGCCGACGGGATTTATCCAGAGTGGTCCACATTAGTGAAGACTATTCCAGCACCTCGAGGAAACAAGCATAAGTACTTTGCTCAACAACAAGAAAGCGCAAGAAAAGATGTTGAGCGAGCTTTTGGCGTGTTGCAAGCTCGATTTGCGATTGTTCGTGGACCAGGACGTTTCTAGCAACCTTGTGTGCTGAAAGATATCATGACAGCTTGTATCATAATGCATAACATGATCGTTGAAGATGAATGTGATTGTCAATTTGACAACAACTTCGACTTTACCGATTCGGTACCAGTCGTTGAACCTTCTCATGTGCAGACAGTGCCTCTAACTGAGTTCATCCAAAATCATTACCAGTCGTTGAACCTTCTCATGTGCAGACAGTGCCTCTAACTGAGTTCATCCAAAATCATCATCGGATCAGGAACACGCAAACACACAAATCAAATCATCATCGGATCAGGAACACGCAAACACACAAATCACTAAAAAATGATTTGATCGAGCATCTGTGGTAGCTTAAGGGATCCATCGCCAAGGATTAAGTTTCTTTATGTCTAATATAATTTCAGAAAAGGAGTTCAAGTTGTTGTACTACGCCAATTTCATTTTTAATAAAGTAGTTGTTTTCATTCAATGCCAAAATTTTCAACTTCAAGTACAATCATAAATCTAATATAAGATAATATTTGATAATTAGGAAGAACTAATGAGGATGCGATGCGAGTACAATATATGATAATTAGGAAGAACCCTTGGACATCCACCTCTCCAAAATCTCTGCCTGACGCATTTCAAAGTATTGACGTTGAACTGAATTGAGTGTTGAGAGATCGATCTTCATGATATCGTCATCTTGTTTCTTCTGTTTTAGCTCCATTTTTTCTTTGTTGGTTTGCTTCATCCACGCGAAAGCCTCTCCCATAATGGACTTAGCGGACTCAGATTTGTCCACATTTTGTTTCCTCTTGAGTTTTGCCGCTTTCCTCCCTTCAGGCCTTGCTATAACATCATCCGAGTCAATGTTCAACTCGATGGGGGTCGCTGGCATGGAATTGTTTGGTGAGGAATCAGAGTTCGTGGTTCTTCTCGGCTGTGATCGAATCTTATTGTAAGTTTCCATTTGTTGGTTCCATTTTTGGTGATGACGCAACTCAACCCAGCAATGGTCAAACACGAATGGCTTACCATAAAGGGATTGGTATAATTCTTTTACTTCTGCAGTCTACACAAGAGTTAAATTTAGAATAATCAAACATATAAGTTAAATATTTACATAAAAACATATAAGTTAAATATTTACCTGGTCAATAATTCCCGTACCAGATCTTTGTCTTCCTTCAATCTGAGCAACGCACCCGCAGAACTTGTTGACCGACAGTTGAATCGTTGACCAACGGTGCATCATTTGGTTTGGTGTGCGACTCGTTGGATCGGTGGAGTATTGGATAAAGTAGTCGTTAGCTCTGTGCCAGAACTTATCTTTGTGTTGCCCATGCCTTGGATGGAGTCTTGGCTCGTGTTCAGCCAAGCAGACACAAGAAGCTTATCCTCATGGACAGTCCAATTTTCGGACCGCTGATAATCATATTTTATTACAATTTTATACCCTCATTATCTATTTTACATGAATAAATATATCATTAATAATTGTTGTTAGATTAGTTTGCACATAATTGAATAAAAATATAAATAAATATTATTAAATGTAAAAACCCCTCAAAAATCTCTCTTCTCTATTTTGTAGCATTTTTGATACTTCTAATAAAAATGCATATGTGCCTGATAATCACATTTTTTTACAATTTTATACCATCATTATCTATTTTATATGAATAAATATACCATTAATAATTGTTGTTAGATTAGTTTGCACATAATTGAATAAAAATATAAATAAATATTATTAAATGTAAAAACCCCTCAAAAATCTCTCTTCTCTATTTTGTAGCATTTTTGAAGCCAAAGCCCATCAAGAAAAACAAATACACCAAGAAAAGCAATGGAATGGACTTGGATGCAAATAGTTGGAATGAATGGGCTTTTATGCAAAGATTTGGATTTCATCAAGAGACTGGACTTCATTGGACTGCTGAGGGATGTGGGCTTCTAATTTTGAAAATCAATTCTCACTTGGGCTTGCTTGGACTTTTAATTTTTGAAAATCAATTGATTAAGGACCTATGTGCTGAAGAACTTCATGGACTGGACTTCAGCTTTGATGGGCCGAAATCAAGTGTTCTTTGCTGCTGATTTTTCTTCTCAAAGACCACGGACTGTTGCTATGGCTTAGGGACTTTGGACCTGCAGCAAATAAATCAACACCGGACTTGAGTGGCCGGTTGTTGCACAAGTGGGCCGAAAGAAATCAATTGTGAACCTGCAGCCCAATGGAGAATTTGATTTTCTAGATCATATAGGCCGGACCTCTTTTGCTAAAGTTTTCTATAGGCTGAAAAATCAAATACATATTTGTATGATTAGCTTCAAAGGACCGGAGTTGATTGCTAAGCTTCATTTTTCGGTTTTGACAATGAAATGGGAAAATCCAAATGGGCCAATTGACATTGCTTTGCTGCAGAGAATTAATGTAAAATCACACACATGATAGACCGGACTTGGGCTTGGAATTTGCAAGAAAATTCTTTTGAAAATCAAGTGAACATGGGCTCAAGAATTGGATTTTGATTTTCTTTTGAAAATCAAATAAATCATATGGGCAGATTGTTGCTTGGGGCTCAAGACAAATCCAATGGCTCATATTCATTGAAGATTACTATAAATAGGGGTAGAGAGTGAGAGGTTAAGGGTGTGAAAATTTTGTAAACTCCTTTTGGAGAGGAGGGCTACTCTTAATTGAGAAGGCCTTCCAAAAATTGTAACTTTAGTTGCAATTAATAAAAATAATTTTTTCCTCTTTAAATTTGTTCTTTCTCCTCTTGTTGAATGATGAGGATGGAGATGAAGAGCAATTTGAAGGTTTGCATTTCTTTTCTCTTTTATTTCTTTTTAGTAATTTCTTTATTATTGCTTATTAGTTAGATTTAAATTCATGCTTGTAGTATAGATTTACTTTCTTGTCTTTTTTATTTTCTTTTTGCACTTTAATTTGTAGAGTAGATTTATTTTTCTTGCATTTAATTTCTGCAATTTATTTTGTAGTTTAGATTTTTATTTTCTTTGTAATTAGATTTATTTCTTGTTCATAGTTTAGATTTTTCTTTTCTTTTTAATTTTGTAATTAGTCTTCTTTTTCTTGTTTTTATTTCTTAAGATGTGAATTTAATTCTTGTAGGAATCTTAGAATTGTATGAAACTAGTCTAATTTCTTTTATATTGTATGAATTATTCTCTTGTACTTAAAATGTTCATGTTAGGATAATCAACTAGAGAACTAATCGGTAGAAGAAGAATTTGATAATCTATGCTTTCCTTAAATGGTTTGATAGGTTATGCTTATGAATTCTAGGATTATTATCATGTTGTTGTTCTTATCATGAATAGTAATTTTAGCTTAGATGATAATTTGATAGGTTACACTTTCCTTAAATGGTTTGATAATCTATGCTTAATAAATCTAAGTTGAAATATGATAAAAAGAGAATAGTTTATATTTTGTAATTGAAATTGGTTAGTGGATTATATTCTAGATTTCTTACCTCTTTTGAATCCTTCATCTTAACTTTCTTAAATTTTCTTTTCATTTTTGGTTTTATTTCTTGATTTTATTAATTCATATTTCTTGCCTTGTGATTTCATTTATTCTTTAATTCTTCCTTCTCTCCTCTAAAATTCAATTTATTACCTCTTGCATATAAATCAAAACAACCACTCATACAATCACACTTATTCTTTATTCCTAATTGTCACGCACAAAATATAAGAACCAAGTTTAATAATCTCTTAAAATCACCTTCTTCGTGGGATCGATATCTTTTTATACTATAACTTGATAAATTGTGCACTTGCAATTTTGGTACATAATTATGCCGCATCAAGTTTTTGGCGCCGTTGCCGGGGAAGGTGCTAAAATAGGATTTTATTAACTTGATTCTTTAACTTGTGTATTTTTCTTGTGAATACCCTTGTGTTGTTTATATATCCTTGCATATATTTCTATCATATAGGATATATCTCATTGTTCATGTTGCTTATCCTAGCTTATATACTTGTTGTATTTCATACTTACTAGGATAACTTATTAATTAATTTTTATTGGCATTTAATCGGATTAGATTAGCATAAGACCCTAATCACCCCCTCTAGGGTCTAACAATGATCAAGTAGTTCACTGACATAGGAGTATAACGACTGTGATTAGAACAGAGACACATCGCATGATAGGCCACTATCAATAAACAGCGTCATTTGCATAAATGACGATGTTGAAATAATCAAGTCGCTCTGTGACATGGGAGTATAACGACTGTGATTAGAATAGAGACACATGACATGGTAGGCCACTATCTTCGATCGTTTTAGGGAGATATAACGTTCGAATAAGATTAGATAACTAATCATCGCATGATAATCATATTTTATTACAGTTTTATACCCTCATTATCTATTTTATATGAATAAATATACCACTAATAATTATTTTTATCTTTTAATTGCAGGTTAATGAAGAATAAATCTCAAACTCTCATCTCTCAACAAAAACCCATTGATTAAATGAAGAAATGAAGCAAAGAAGCACATTGGAAAATCAATTTCCAAATTATCCAAAAGCCCAGAATCAAGTCGTGTAGCCTGTAGAAGCCGGAGAAAATCAAAAATCCAATATGAAAAGAAATCATATTCAAAATGGTTGGCCACAAAGAAACGACGATATCTCCTAATCCGGAAGGCGGAATTTAACATATAATATATGAAAATCGCCTATCTCGACGAGACGAAGCTATCCGTGAAATCAGAATTTGGAAATAGTGGGCATCGATGTCGGCATCGATGTGGGCATCGATGCTGGCATCGATACCTGCATCGATGCCTGTATCGATGCCAGATTACTGTAGCGCGCGTCAATGGCTGATTTTGCTTGTCTTGGGGCTCAAGTTTGATCCAATGGCTCTCATTCACTGATGTTTACTATAAATAGGGGTAGAGAGTGAGGGGTTAGAGGTGTGAAAATTTTGTAAACTCCTTTTGGAGAGGAGGGCTACTCTTAATTGAGAAGG